CCACTTGAGCTGTGCCCTCCCCCCACTTGAGCTGTGCCCTCCCCCCACTTGAGCTGTGCCCTTGCCCCCAGACATTTCAAATTATTTGGTGTTTCCTTCCAGACAGTTGCTGGTGGGATGGAAACGGGCGCACTGCTTCTACAGGGCAGTCTGATCACCTGTGACAGAAGCCTTACGACTCCACATACCCTTGAACCCAGCAATGCCATATCTGGGATTTTTTGGGGGGGGAGATATTGCGAATATAAGCACAGATTTAGCTCTTAAACCCTCAGCTCATTCCAGCCCTGTAACCAACAATGCCAACAACTTAAATGTCCATCGATAGAATACTGGCTGAGTAGCCTACAATACTATCACTCAGAGGAATATACCACAGTTATGGAAAATAACGCTGGAACACAGAATGTGTAAAGACACGGAAAAATACTCGTAGCAGACAACATAACGACAGAATGAAGTAGAAACAGCCGGCTCAATTAAACTAAATGGAATGACTCAATCTAGTGAGCTGCCTTTTCCTGGGAAAGCACCAAGCACAGAGAAGGACTGGGCGAGCGCACACCAGCCAGCGGGGCCGCCTCTGGCGACGAGAGAGGAACTACGTCACTCTCCTTTCCATACATCTCTGCTTCTAAATGTCCTACAATGAATGTGAACTAGCCTGTGAAAGGGAAAAACCGCCACCACGTGCTGAGATGATGAAAAACGAGGCGGAAGAGTTGGTGGCCAGGAAGGCAGCCTGGGATCGGCGCAAACTGCCAACCTCCAGGGGTGTGTGCAAACCTCCACTGTGAACTCAAAGCTGTCAGGAACCCCCAGAGAGCAAATGTACCAAGAACTTGCTGGAGGTGCCAAGATGGTGGAGAAGGAAGACCCTAAACTTCCCTCCTCCCACAACACCCCAGAATTACAATTGCTTACAGAGCAATCCTACATGAGAATGATCTTGAGACCTACAGGTTTCCCACGACAGAAGGCGTGGACAGGGCACCACAGTGAGATGGGGGGGCGGGGGCGTGGTGCAGGCAGGACCCACGCCCCCGGGTCAGCGACCCACAAAGGGAGCGGTGTCACAGCTGCAGAAGGCTTTCTCCAGGAGCGAGGGCTCTGAGCCCCACATCGGGCTCCCCAGCCCAGCGGGCCCTGCACCAGGAAGATGAGCTCCCAGAACGTCTGGGTTTGAAAGCCACAAGGTTTACATACATTCGGGAGAGCCAAGGGCCATGGGAAACAGACTCCGCTCTTGGACGGCACACATAATCTCATGTGCTCTAAGAGGCCAGCACAGAGGCATCAGCTTGGAAGGAGCCTGGGTCAGAAATGCTTGCCAATCACAGAGAGCCTCCCAGGAGGATGGAGATGTGGAGCCTCTGGGGATGGAGATGCGGCGGCAGCCGTCTGGAGCTCAGTCCACTGCAGTAACACCAGAGCTGGCGGCCCTATCAGCCCGGGAACGCGGCCGCCCACCAGCTGCAGGCAGCAGCCCGCACCAACCCTCCTCCAACCCCAGGTGTGCAGCCAACCATGGGGGAAGCCTACCCTGCCCTCCAGCAGGTCCACGGCCACTGCACGAGGCATGGCCTTGCAGCCAACTGGACCAAGGCCCAGCCCCACCTGCTGCCACCCCTACAGTTGATCCCACCACAGCAGAAGGGCCCACACAGCCCACACTGGGGGCACCCCCAGAACATATAGCTCTTGTGACCAGAGGAGATTATGCTGCTGGCCTCACTGGCCACCTTCTGCCTAAGGCCACTTCTTCATGATCGGGAAATGTAACTGACCTGCCTGACAGTAAACACACAGAATTAGGCAAAGTGAAACTGACAGTAACGTGTTGATAGCGGGGACTTTAACAGCCAACTTACAACAATGGACAGATCATCCGGACAAAAAGTCAGTAAGGAAGCACTGACCTTAAATGACATACAAGACCATACAGAATTCATAGACATTCACAGAACATTTCATCCCCAAACAGAATATACATTCTTCTCAGGTGCACATGGAACATTCGCCAGGATAGATCACATGCGAGGCTACGAAACAAGTCTTGATAAATTTAAGATTGAAATAGTATCAAGTGCCTTTTCTAGAAATGAACGAGAAAAACTTGAAAAACACAAACATGAGAAAGCTAAACCATCTGCTGCCTAACGACCAATGGGCCACTGAAAAGTCAAAAAGGAAACAAGTAACTGGAGACAAAAGCAGGACGCAGCAAAAGCAGTTCTAAGAGGGAAGGTTAACAACGCACGCCTGCCTCAGGAAGCAAGAAAGGCCCAAGGCAACAACCTCGCCTCGTGCCTAAGGGACCAGGAAACGCAGCGCAAAGCCCAGCGTAAGCAGGAGGAGGAAAACAATAAAAACCAGAGTAGAAACAAGTAAGGGCTTAAACAATAATAGGAAAGATGAATGAAATTAAGAGCTGCTTATTTGAAAAGATAAAATTGATAAACCTTAGCCAGACTCATCAAGAGAGAGAGCCCAACTCAGTAAAATCAGCAATGGGAAGAAGTTGCAACCAACACCACAGAAATACAAAGGATCATATAAGATTACTATGAAAAATTATCCACCAATAAACTGGAAAATCTGCAAGAAATGGATCAAATCCTAAAAAGTACACTCACCTGAGACTGAGTCAGAAAGAAACAGAAAAGATGAACCAAACGATTACCGGCAATAAAACTGAGTCCACATAAAGAGAATTCCCAACAAACAGAAGTGCAGGACCAGACGGCCGCACAGGTGAAGTCTCCGAAAACTCACGGGCTGTTTGAGCACCACCCCATGTTCACTGCAGTGCTGTTTACAGCAGCCGACACACGGAAGCCACCCAAGTGCCCACTGACACGACTGGATAAAGAAGAGTGAACAAGATGTAGTTACTCTACAGTGGGCTATGACTCAGCCCTAAAAGAAAAGAAAAGAAGAAAAAAGGAATCTTGCCACTTGCGACAACAGGGCAGGACCTAGAGGGTATAATGCCAAGTGAAGTAAGTCAGACAGAGAAAGACAAATACTGTGTGATCTCCCTCATACATGGAATCTGAAAAATGAAACGAAACGAAAAGAAAGACTTACAGATACAGAGAACAAACGGACGGCTGCCAGGGGTGGGGTGGGGGGCGCAAAACCAGCGAAGGGGACTACGAAGCACAAACTTCCAGTCATAAATTAAGCAAGTCACAGAGACGCAGTGCACGGTATAACACGGTCAACAGTATCACAGATACTTTGCACAGGGACAGACGGTCACTGACTTTGTTGTGACTGTTCCGTAACACATGCAAATATTCAGTCACCAGTAAGTGTGAAACTAAAAACACAGAAACAAAAAGTAAGAACTTACCAACACCGTATTTCTCTATTAATTCAATTAACTTTTCTTCTTCTTTGGAATTCCATCGTCCCTTTTTCAGGCTAAAATGTAACCTTCTGAGATACCTGAAAGTGACATGAAGACAAAGGGACATTTCAGAAGCTAAGATGGCCTCCCACCTGTCCTGGCGTCTGCAATCGCTTCCGAGCTATGACACCAAAAAATACAGCAACAAAAGAGAAATACAAATAAACTGGACTTCAGCAAAATTGAAAACTTCTGTGCGTCAAGGGCCACCATCAAGAAAGTAGAAAGACAAGCCACAGACTGGGAGAGACTGCCTGCAAACCACGTACCTGGTGAGAGACCTGCGTCTGGAATACAGAAAGCGCTTTTCTAACTCAATTTTAAACATGGGCAAAGGGTAAGGACAGCTATTTCTTCAGATACACAAACAGCCAATCAACACACAAAGGGATGCCCAACATCATCAGCTGTCAGGGGAACGTGAACCAGAAACACAACGAGGTACCACTTCACACCCACTACGATGGCTGGACTCGAAAAGATAGTAAGTGTTGGCGAGGATGCAAAAACCGGAACCCTCCCACACGGCTGGTGGGAGTGTGAAATGGTCATCCCTCAGAAGTCAAGTCAACATGTGACCGACTCCACTCCCAGGCAGAGCTGAGAGAAGTGAATACACATCTGCACAAGAACGTGCACACAAACGCCGTTTTCACAGCTCGTCCATGACGCCAAGGTACCAGACTCTTGCTTATTTCTAAGGCTCAGTGACAGTCGATCGTCCACACGACATTAGGACCACCTTGTATTTATCCACTTAACTGCTGACGGACACTTCGGTTGCTTCCACCTTTGGGCTGCTCTAAGTGTTGCTATGAACGGGGGTGTAAAATATGTTTGAGTCCCTGATTTCAGCTCTCTTGGCTATGGGCTGGAATTGCTACATAATGCGGTAATTCCAAGTTTAACTTTTTTCCACGGTGGCTGCACCAATTTACATTCCCACCAGCAGTGTGCGAGGATTCCAACTTCTCCACATCCCCTCCAGCACTTGTTATTTCCGGTTTCTTAAAACCAATTGCCATCCTAGTGTGTGAAGTGGTATCTTTCTGTGGTTTCCATTTGTATTTCTATAATGACTAATCATGTTCGCATTTTTTCACATGCTTAATGGCCATTTGTATGTCTTCTTTGGAGAAATGTCTGTTCAAGTCCTCTGCCCATTTTTGAATTGTTTTTTGTTAGGGAACAGCATTTGAGGGGTGATCAAAATGTTCTAAAATTGACTGTGATGATGGCTGCACAGTTCAATGAATACACTCAAAATCACAGAACTGTAGTACGCTTTGAATAAATGAATTACATGTGAATTACATAATAAAGCTGTTACTAATCATTACGATAAAGCTGTTTTTTAAAAAAGCAAGCCAAGAGAAGGGGGAAGTGGAAGCTGCCCACCAGAGACCTGGGAGAGGGCTTTGGGCAGCAGGGCTCAGGGAAGCGGCCAGCCAGGGGATCTCAAAGGACACCAAGGGAGCTGTTTAGAAGCCACCTGCTTCCTGACTAGGTTAGCCCTGGCCCTCCACGCCCCTACAGTCACATCCTCCTCCTGCGCCAGCAGATCGCCCTGGGCCACAGCCTCCCAGCCCACCGGCGGCCCACACAGAAGCAACACCCGCAAGGCCCCCCTGCTCGGCGCCGTCCGACTCACCGATCTCGGCACTGGGCATCGCTCCTACCTGGCACCTCTTCCCGGATTTTAAACCAATCCTGCTCCCCGTATTTGGCAACTGCTTGAAGCAACTTCTGCAGGGAGAGACAAGCAGACAGGTGAGTGACCTCTGCTGGCTCAGTCACAACTTCCCCACCTTTAATTCAGTTTAACAAGGAGACATCAGGGGCCCAGTAGCCACTCAAGGCGTCTGGTTCTCCTCGTCTCCCACAGACTTACGGCATCTTCTTCTGGCGTCCAGAATCCTTTCTTCAGCCTGGGATCCAAGCTCTTGGTCCACCGGTAGATAAGCTGCATGGAGTCCCTCCCTTCCATGTAGTAGACGACTGGGGACAAAGAGGCCTTGTGGGCTGCACTTCCGGGCTCGCCTAGAAAGGCGTCACTGGCCGCAGGGAATTAAACTGTGGGTGCCCAGGACTGTATGACCGGTCTCCCGCCACCCCTCACAGCCTTGACTAGTGAGCCGCCTTGGCCTGGGGCCCCAGGACCTCCCAGTAGCCCAGAGACCCCGACCACGGTGCTGGAGCCAGGCAGCAGGGCGGACTCACTCCTCCGGTAGGGGATGTGGCTGCCGACACGCATCTCCTGCACGAGCTGGGTGAGCATGTGGTCCTCCTCCTCCGTCCACTCCTTGCGCTTCAGGGCCTTGTTGTGCTGCTGATACTTCTGCAGGCACTGGAAGGCGCTGCGGCAGGTCTGCCGAGGCCGAACCAGAGCAGAGTGGGGGTTACTAAGCGCTCATGTGCACAGGGAACGTCCAGGCGCCAAGCAGGTAATGTACTTCTGGGAAACAATGACCTACTTACTCCTACCAGGCCCCTGGGGACAGTGGAAAGCACCCCCATGGGGGAAAACACGGGGTCCACTAAAGAAGAGCACAAACACCAGTGCACGAGGGAAAATACATCCACAAAAAGTCATGACCCCACATTCATGTGACCCTAAACCATACTGCAAACTCAAATACCCAATGGAAACCTCAGCTCGGCCAGGTCTGCGGGAGGAGGGCCAGCCTGCACAGCACGGCTGGCACTGTGACTCTTATTTCGGAGCCCTGAGTTGGTCTCTCTGAAGTTTATGCCAGGGGGCAGCTGGCGGTGCACGCGGCAGGGGATACTGGACAGTCCTTGGTGTGGTGCCTGCGTCTGGGAACAGCTCACAGCAAGCTCCAAGTGCCTGTCAGCCTGCTTCCGCACCTTATAGCTGTGCACACCCCTGGGCTGCAGAGCAGGCGTTTTTGCCTGTATCTGTCCCCTCACTCATGTCCTCGTGGGCAAGTGGTTGTCTGTGGGCTGGCTAATGCTATCTGACTCTCTTTTCTCAAGTAAGCTTTCTCACAGGGAACAGGTGTGGTTGGACGTGTATGATCTGCTCGGCTATGAGCTCTGAATGTGGTGATGTCTCTTTAGATTCAACACCAAAAGCACAAACCATCGGAGAAATAATTTTCATAAGTGAGGTTTCATTACAATCAAAAACCTCTGCTCAATGAAAAACAATGTCAAGAAAATTAGAAGACAGGCCACAGACCAGGAGAAAATATTTGCAAAAGATGCATCTGACAAGGAACTGTTACCTAAAGTACCCAAAGAACTCTTCAAAGTCAACAATGAGGAAATGAACCACCTGATTAAAAAATGGACCAAAGAGCTTAACACACACCTCACCAAAGAAGATACACGGACAGCAAGTAAGCGCACGAGAAGCAGCTCCACGCCACACGTCGTCAGGGAAAAGCAAGCTAAGCTGAGACACCCCCACACGTATATCAGGACGGCCAAAATGCCGCACGCTGGCAACGCCGGACGTGGGCGGGGCGGGGCTGCACGCCGCAGGAGCGCTCACCACCGCTGGCGCCCACACTACGCAGGGCGGGCACCCCGGAAGACGGCGTGGGGCTTCCTACAAAGCTAAATGTGTTTCTGCCGTATAAGCTGGCCAATGGTGCTCCTTTGTATTTGCCCAAAGGAGCTGAAAACTTCTGTCTACCCAGAAACCTGCACGCAGATGTTTACAGCAGTTTGATTCATAACTGATAAATTTTGGAGGCCCCCAAGATGCCCTTCAGTAGGTGAATGGATAAACATATTTTGGTCCATCCAAACAGTGATAGTATTCAGCACGAACGGAAGTCACCAAGACACGACAAGATAAGGAAGAACCTTAAGATGCTTATGATCAAGCAAAAGAAGCCAACCTGAGAGGCTGCAGACTGTGTGAGTCCAGCTACAGGATGGCCCGAAAAGGCCAAACGATGGCGCTCGTCTTCCTAAATGATCACTGGCTGCTGGGGGCGGGGCTGAGGGGGTGGCCGGGCAGAGCCCAGAGGACCCTTAGGACAGTGAAATCACTTTGTACGAGACCGTAACGGCGGGGACATGTCATCACACTTCTGCTGAAACCCACAGAGTACACACCACCAGGAGCGAACCCACGGTCAACTACGGGCTTTGGGCGATGGCGACTTGTCAGCGCAGATCCACCCTCTGCAAGGACGCACCGTCAGGTGAGCGACGTTGCTGATGTGCGTGTGGAGGCGAAGGGTACGCGGGAAACAGCGGTACTTTCAGTTTTGCTGTGCACCTAAGCCCTAAAACCAGTCTTGATGAGCACTAAAAACATGAGGACATAAAACAGTTTTTTAAAAGCAGAATTTATCAAGTAAATAAAAGCACGTGTACCAAATTACAGAGCCGCTAAGCGTATAAAGAAAAACTGTTAAAGACGAGAGGACAAAAAAACTTTTTAACGTTTCCTCAGGTTCTAACCAAATTACATCAATGCAATTCTTTCAGAAACGAATGGCCCTAAAGAGTGAAATTTAGTAATATAATGAGCTCTATTTAACAGGCTTAGATGGCATCCTAGACTCTCAGAGCAGAGAACACACTTTTCTTTTTAAACAGCTTGGCAAGTTTAGTTTGGTTTTCTGCAACCATGTGCTTAGCCAAAAAAAGTGAGATTAAAACCGGAAATTTTTCAGATCACACTCTCATGTCACAAGCCAACAAAATTCAAACTAAGAATAACAAAAGGGATTCCAAGAAACCCCACCATCCGAAAACGAGAAACACATTCCTACACGGGCTAAATCCAAAAAGGCAACACAAACGGGAGTCACAGCCATCCCAAAACTTGCAAAAGGAAGGCATTTCACACCAGGCTGTCCTCAAAACAGGAGGCCTTAACGCCTCTACTGTTAGGGAGCGGGGCCAGTGGAGAACTGAGTCCTCGCCTTAGATGGGAAAGACAAGAAACCCAAAAGAAACCAGGAAAAGCGTCCTTCTCAAACACCCCGCGGACTCCTCCTGAGCCTAACGGGGGCGGGGGGGGCCGAGGAGGGGAAGGGATTCAGACGGACTCAGAGACTGGGCTTTCTGGACAGATGGAGCATGAATGCGCTCTCAGGGAGGCAGCGGGGTCTGAGAGCAGGAAGCGTCTGAAGCATCAGCCCGGGGGCAGGGAGGGCTTACCCTCTCCGAGGGCCACAGCCTTGAGAGCGGCGAGAGGAGGAAACCCGTTGCTCTAAGGGAAAAGCCTGGGCCATGGTGTGACACGCGGCCCATGGAGACCCCAGACCCACCCAGCCTCCCAGCTGTGGAGCCGACGCTGCCCGTGGGGTCCGGGCCTCACCCCCAGCTCCTCAGCGATCTTCTGCCAGTCCAGGTGGCCGTGCCTGGCCGCGATGGCTTTCAGCTGCTCGACCTCCTGCCCCGTCCACTCCTGCTTGTTGATGCTCGGGTGCTCACAGTTCTGCCAGAACTTGCGGATCTCTTCTGCACTGCGACCTCCTTCAAACTGCACCAACACAGAGACCCGGGCTGCAGGGGGTGTCGCTCTGGCAGCCGCGGAGAGGTGGGATCTCTAGTCAGGATGCCTGGATTCGCACAGCCGAAATGCAGAGGGGGCTCCAACCTCAAAGCCAAAGCCTCCACAGCCATCCACCTCAGAAGAGGCGCCTTGTTCCAGCAGGGAAGGCCCTGCAGGGCCACTCCATGTTGCTGGATGAGCACTCAACCAGGGAGGGTCACGGCAGGCCCGGTGGCCACACAGGTCTACGACCTTACCGCCTGCAGCTGACCCTGCCGACGCTGACCCGCCCCTCAGCTACCAGGACAGGCCACCCCCAACTTACGTTAACGTTGGAGATTTTCTCCCAGTCGTGGCTGTCCAGCCTGCTCCCCAGCAAGGCCTCCTCTGGGAGCTGACTGGAAAGGGCGGCAAGGGCACAGGGTCACGCCTGGCCTCCTGCCGCCCTCCCCGGCTGACACCCGCTGGCGACCTGGCTTACTTGATGTCCTGGATCTCCTTCTCGGCCTCCCTGGCCTGCTTTTCCAGGACCTGCCTCTCGGTCTCACTTGTGACCCTGCTCTGCTTCTGGTGCAAGTACTCGAGCCTGAAAGGCAGAGCAGAGGCACCACGGTCACTGATGATGCTGGTTTGCTCTGCGGGAGTCCCCACGGCTGGCTCGGCTTTCACTCGGACCCAGGGTGCGCCCCCTGGGGCCCGGCTCGATGCTGGCGCTGCCTCTGCAGACACACCGCTCAGTCTCTCCGAACCACCCCCAGAGAAAGCAGCAGCACCCCTCTGGTGTCGGGACGGCAAGGGCAGCAACGTGTGTGCTGATACAGATGTTGTATCACTGCTGCCCCACATCTCAGAGCTCGGTGTCCCACTGCCGGCCCCGCACCCCACATATAGGGAGGTGCTTCGCAGGCATCCTGGCCCTAATGCCCAGCGACAAGGCCGGAAACCGTCTCTTAGGACTGCAGTCACCCACGTGAGCACGTAATCGCTTCCAGGACAGCCCAAGGAGCGTCCCAGCCATCACCGCGACAAACCCCGGCGCCACGCGGAGCCCCGGCCTGACTACAGGTGCTGAGACGTGGTTCCAAGACATCATCCTGTCAGCCCATACGTGCTGCAGATCTTGTGAGCGGTCCTCCTTTCCCGAGGTGGAAACGGAGGCCCAGGCCAGAGACACTGCCAGGTCACACAGCCAACGTGGCCACTCAGCCTGAGTGGTGCCGGAGTATGTGCGCCAGTTTCCTTAGCTGCGGCCAGAACCGGGAGCAGCAGGTAGGATGCGGTCTGGCTCCCAGAGCCCCCGCACGCTTGACCTCAGGGTTCGGCGGCCTCCTCTGGGAGAGAGTTCAGAAACCAGAGCCTCTCCCGTGGCAGCAGAGGGACCCGGCAGAGAAGGGGGCATGGCTGAACGGGGCCTCTGCCCGTCACGAGCTGCCAGCCTGGGCGCCCTGCTCACTGGGCAGCCGTGTGTCCAGGCCCTGCTCTCAGACTTACTTCAGTAACTTGGGCTGAAGCAGACGCTGCAGGCGGTCGCTCACCACTGACTTTCGGAGCAGGGCCTTTTCCCAGTTTTTCCCTGAGGAGACACAAGGATGTCAAAGCAGCCCCTGGCCCCGCACTCAGGCCCCGTGCACTTCAGCTGAATCCTCTTGGGACCCTCGAGCTCTATCCAGGCTGCAGTGAGGAAGTGGCTGAGTGGCTGGCACCTGGGGATGCGGGCTGAGCGGTGAGCCAGGCCACAGGCACTGGGCCCTCCATCCAGCGAGCACAGCCCCACCCGGGCCTGGCACCAGCTACAAGCTCACACGGCAGGGCCTCCTGGGGCCTCAAGTTCAGGAGTTGGGAGGGAGACCAGAGAGGGCGCCGTAGTGGGTGGTCCGAGCCTGTCCCTCATGACAGCATCCTGAGGATCCCACCCAGCATGGGAAAGCAAGGCTCCAAGTAACCAGTTCTGGTGCTCGAGACCGAAGGTGCCTGTGATGCTGCTGGAGTCTCTCGTCACGCCCGGGGAGAGGCAGGGCATGGTGAAGGCCCCCCGCGTCCGAGTGTGGCAGGCACTGAGGACTGGGCGGGGCTCTTACACTTGGTCACTAGGAGCTGCTCGAAAGCCTTGATGCCCTGGGCAGCCTTCTCCCGTGTGTCTTTGTTGGCAGGAGGTCCCTGTCAGAGAACGGAGTGCCACAGTGTGGACAGAACCCAAGGGTGCTCCCCTGAAGGGCCCAGCATGTCCCTCTGGGGTCCCTCCTAAGACCCCTTCCCCACAGCCTCCTCCAGCAACCCAGCCACGTGTGAGGCCAGGCCCTGGACGCCTGGACCTAGAACCGTGCCTTGTGAGTAGCTCTGGGATACAACCCAGTGGGCGTAGGATGGGTTCAGTGACCCCACGAGGGTGGACAAGGAGGAGAGGAATGCTGTTAGCAACATCAAGACCCCCACTACCAGAACTCAGCAGGCCCACCACGCTGCCCCGCCCACGGCACCACGTCTCAAGGAGCTGCCCCAGCGGGTTTATCAGAGAAGGGAGATCAACTGCCACCTTTGGGGGCGGGTTGGAGGGCAGACCCTGACTTTCACCACTGGACCCAGGGGAGGCTTTTAATTTAGAAAGGTTGGGAAACACTGTCCTGAAGAATCCAAGGGAATTCACAACAGCCACAGAAGGCTGTGGGGACAAGAGCCCCTTCCCACAGAGCCTGGCTGAAACCTCACCGAAGGGCAGGGCCCCGGCCACTCACCACGCCGGTCACCTTGTCCTTGAAGTAGGGCTTCATAAAGTGCCCAATGTACAGATTTGGGGGCAGGCTCCTGCCGTCCTTCACCTTGGGGCCTTTGGACCCCGCCAGGTCCCACATGACCTCCTCCTGTGGCAGACACAAGGGCCCATCTGTGGGCCAGGCAGCAGCAACTCTCCCGGCAGAGAAGGGAGTAGACCTGACCCAGAGCCCAGCCCTGGTCCTGGGAGGCCCAGCTGCGGGGGCTCTGGGAGCCAGACCGCATCCTACCTGCTGCTCCCGGTTCTGGGCCAGCAGCAGGCTGACCTCTGCCAGCTTCTCCTGGATGACCTCCTGGTAGACCATGTTCAGCTGCAGACAGGTCTCCGGGTCCTCAGGGAGAGCTTTCTCTTTGGGGTCGTCTTCATCATTGCTGGCTTCACCCCACCTCTCTTCTTCCTGGTTACAAACGGGAAACCGCAGCTAAGGAAACTGGCGCACATACTCCGGCACCCTCGTGGCCCCAGGGGTGTGAAGGGCCCTGAGCAGGCTCTGGCTGTGGCCCGGCGTGGTCCACAGAGTGCGTGCACACTCCCAGCTGAAGACAACTCTACTTAAATTTAACTTCTAGGAGTGTACTTCAGGTGTGGAAGCGTGAGGAAGTGAGCAGTTTTCATTCTCCACAATAAAACCGTCTGTAAGGCTTGGACTTTAGAGCAGGCTCGTGCCATGTTCCTCGCTGGCAAATGCAGTGAACAAGAACATGTGCAAAGGCCACTGCAGCACCAGTGACACTAAAGACGGAGACAAACGCCCACCACAAGGCGATGCAGCTAAAACCCTGGAACTATAGTGAACCTGCGTCAGGGGACCACCCAGCTAGTAAGAACAGGGAGCAATTCTGTACCTACTGACTTGATAGAAAAACAAAAAGCCAACTGTAACAGTTTTCTGGAAGAACATAAAACTACAAAACAAACAAGCAATAGTTAAACAGTACGTGGCGCGACCCAGAGCTGACTTGCCAGGCGCTGCCCTAGGCGCTGGCATGTGTGAACTGGCTTGTGCTGTAACTGCCCCTCCTGTTCAGGCTGGGAACCAGAGGCACAGAGAGGTGGACTACCAGGGGCAGGACCCAGGCAGCCCAGCAGCCCTTCCACGTCACATGTCACACGAGACACAGCAGCCAGCAGCTCAGACAAGAACAGAGGCCAAACAACAAGCTGCCACCAGTGGCGGTTCTGGGGACCACCTTATTTTTGATGATACCTGGTGACGTCTCATCTTTACTAACAGGTGGGCAATATTTTTACAATGCGAAACACCCAGCTGGCTTCAAAGCACCCCCTTCCCAGACCCACCGGGAGGGTGGTGTGTCTGCCACAGCAGAAGTTACCGAGATCAGTGGAGCAGCAGCATCCGAGTCCTCATCAGGCAGTGAATCTGTAGGAACACAAGCAGACCATGTTGGTGACTGGCGATGGGGCGCCATGGGGGCCGGGGAGACCAAGCAGCTGCAGCTTCAAGGGGCTGGAGCCAGGCGGGGCGGGTGGGTGAGCGGGATGAAAGACCACAGGGAGACTTGTTTTGCGGGCCCCCCCGCCCCCCCAAGTGCCAGTGGCTGATCGCTGCTCACTGGCTGTGTGGAGCAGGTACTGCACCACGGGCAGGGTCAGCCAGGAGAAGACACCAGCCTGACAAAAGTGCTCTCAGGCCTGCAGGGAACAGTGACCACTGGGACAATCAGTAGGAGACAGTTCTGTCCTGGGGGAACTGGAGCTTGTTATGGGGGAGAGCGGACAGACAGAGGCCCTGATATCAGGTGGAAAAAAGGCCTTGGTGTATTGGGAACTATGAGAAGTTCAGCCTCAGAGCTACCCCTGGAACCTGCAGAGAGGTGAACAGGTTGGGGGACCCTGGACAGCTCAGCCACTGCAGGCTGGCCTCCAGTCAGAGATGTGGTGCAGGTCACTCAGGGCCTGGGGAGCACTGGCAGGCGGGGGGCAGAATATGAGCCTTGGCACCAGGGGTCTCAGCTGTGACGCCTGTTCAACGAGGGGTGGAGGACAGAGCTGAACCCCGGGACCTTCCAATTCCTGTGGCAAGCAGTGTGGCCCTCCTCCCAGGACAGCCTGATGCAGATGGCCACTCTGGGGCAGGAAGCCCACGCATGGCTGGCAGGTCCAGGGGCTAACACGGGAGGAATGGTAACAAGCTGTCCAGTGGAGTAAAGGCAGAGGCTGGTTTTGCGGAGAGAGCAGCACGGTGGCCTACTGGGCTGACAGGGCCCATGGCAGACACAGCTGTTCTAATTGTAGTGCGCGGGAGCTCACCTGCATCAGAGTCTGAATCAAGACTCGACTCTGAGACGTCCACACTGATACTTGAAGACTGAGGGTCCAAAATCCTTTCCAGCTCCTTGATCTCTTTTGATATTTTTTCTCTTTCAGCATCTATATCCATGGCTCCTACCTGCCTCCAAAATACAACACAAGATGCTAGAAACCAAAGGGTATGCGGGAATCTCATTGTCCCTCAGATGCACAGGCCTGCAAGGGGTGGCAGAGCACTGACCAAAGCAGGTCCTGGGCTCCTAGAGGCCCAGCCCGGGGAGCCCTATGAACCCCAGCTCTTTACTGTCAGCTGCTCCAAGGTTGCAACCAGCACGGGGGGAAGAATGATGGTCACCAACATGGTCCAACATGCCTGGTCTGTCTACCCACAACCAAGCCGAGAATGAGCCGGTCACGTGGAGCATTAAGAGGAGAATGTGGTGGCAAAACTGTCAGAGGATGAGGACGAGGCCCGCAGACCACGCGAAACCTGAACTTGGGACCACAGGTGCAGCCTGCTCTCCCTCGGCACAGAGGTGGACACAGAGGGCATCTGGCCGGCGTCCGCTGAAATACAGACGGACCAGGTGGCATGCGCCAACAGCTCTGGGAAGGAAGCCCCAAGGGCAAGGCCCACGACTGCCCAGCAGCTAGTCCAGCACCTGGCCCTGGGTAGTGTCTGACACTGAACAAACTCTGCTAAAGAAACAGGGACTTCTTTTCTTAGGATTGAGGGTCTGGAAAATCTCAAATAGTCCGAGAGAGGGAGAATAAGTCACTGGTAAGGGAAACAGAACGGAACACAAGCACAGACCAGAAACCCAAAACACGCACGAGAAACATCCTCCTCGCCCCCGGCCGGCCCCTCCCTGCTGCAGACCCACAGAGGCCCGCCCTGCGACAACCGGGGCGCCCCCAGCTCGCACAGCAGCACAAAGCTGAGATTTCAAAGGTTTATAAACCCAACTACGGCCAAACGCCAGCCAGTCTGCAGAACCGGCACAGCTCCTGGCAGGCGCCGAGCGGCCCCTCCGCGGGCGGCCGGGAGGGAAGCCTCAAGGAGCCGCAGCGCGGTCTGCGGGCGCCCCCGGCCGGCTCGGCCCCGGGCCCAGAGACCCGCGGGCGTCAGGCAGCCCTGCACGCTCTGCCTCCGACGGCGACCGCCGGGGACTGGGTGCGGAGAGCCTCTGGGGCGGACCCCGCCTCCCCCCGCTGCCCCTCGCCGCCGCTCCGGGCCCGTCGACCCCCACGGCTCCTCACCGGCAGCAGCCCTGGCGCCAGGCCTCTGCACCCCACGCTTCCGGCAGCTGCGCGACTCCCGAGCCGCGGACCGGAAGTCCCGCCTCCACGGTCGCGACGGAGGCACGCCGGGTTGAGGCCCACAGGCGGGCCGGTGCTGCCCCCGCGCGGCCACCCTCGGGACTGCCCGCGTCCGCAGGAGGCCTGGCTGCGGCCCCCATTGGGCGGGGTCACCCAGTAGCCGGGAGCTCGCCTGGCAGCGTTCTCTCCCCCGCGGTGGGACCTCCCGCAGCGCCCGAGCCTCACTGTGCTGTTTCTCCGTTAGCTGTATGCAGGGTTTTGGTTGAGGAACCGAGGAGAATCCTGCCCAGCACTCGATACTGTCCTGGCCAGGCCATCTCCAGACCACCCTCCCGGCCCGGTGCAGCGCTCTGCGAGGAGCGGGCGGAGCCGGCCAGGAGGGGCCCCTGACCCCCAGAGGGGCATCTTCCCGAGGGTGATGGTGGCTGGGTCCCAGCGGATGAGTAGGTCCCCTCTAGTGAACCAAGTGGAGCTGGAGGCCGGTGGGCGCAGGGGAAGCTGGGATTGGCGCTGAAGCGAGGACGACGACGGTGGAAACTGCGGGCTGCCTGTTCTCCAGGGCTCACCGAGTGCCCCTGGAGTAGCCCAGGACGTGCCTGCCGGAAACCCGGGGGCAGACACGCGGGTTCGTTAAGTCGCCGAGAATGGCGAACCCAAGTTTTGCTGTCGAACACTTAAAAAGTAGAGGGAGAGACGAGAGTGTAATAAAAGCCTGTGTCCGCCCGCCTTACCTCGTGGAGACCCTCTCTGCCCGCCCCGCCCCCAGCAGGCTCTCCGCCCACAGCTGCAGCAGCTGGAGCCCACTCACGTCCAGGGCCAGGGGTGGGTGGCCCATCTGAGGGTTGCTGCTCTAGGAGCCACCCTGCTTTGGGCCCACCCTGGCCTGTGGGCCGGTGGGTGAAGGAGGTGCCAGGCTGGTGATCTGCCTGCACGGGCCCAACCCCTGTAAAATGCTGTGCCCTCCATGCAGGGCTGTGGCCCGAGGCATCCTCCCTGGCAGTCCCATCCCTGTTTTTACAGGTTTCCCAGAGCTGCTATGTGTACACCCAGAAGAGAACCTCTCTCTTACACTGTCCTGCTAGACCATCCTGTCTGAAGTCTGCTCTGACAATAGAACCCAGAGCCCACTTTTCACCAATGGGCAGGAGCACGAGGCATTGGTGGGGGGTAAGATGAAAGACGTGGTCCACGGTGCTTCTGGGAGGCTCTTACCCATAGCTAAGGGCAGTGGGCCTAGCAGTTTAAACGTCCTGAAAATTCAGCCGCATGATCTCAACTGCTCCAATACTAGAATCCAACCTGTCCTACTCAACAGGCTGCTCTGACTCGACTCGCAAGTCTACAGCGTGCTGTCACCGCAGCCGGGCCCACACAGCAGTGGCCCGAGTCCACCCCTAACGGGCAGGGCCCGATGCTTCATTCGTCAGCATAAACCACCTGTTAGGACAGGACAGGACACATACCTTGAAATCAGGGGACAGCCGCATGCTTCTCAGACATAACAGGCCAAGTCACAAAAACAGGGACAGTGCATATGAATTTTAGAATTTATTGAACAAAAAAAGCTGTTGACTTGAAAAGGAGAGGAAAAGGAAGTTTATTTTAAAAAATAACATCCACGGGAACACAGCCAGAAAGGCGTCTAGTGCACGAGGCCTCACTGCAGACAGGAAGGGGTGGGAGAGGCACTGTGGGGCACGGCGCACTGCCCCGGGAAGGCTCTGCCCACGCTCCATGCTCCTGGTATAAGGTGCCACCTGAAATGTGTACCAAAACCCTTCAGCCAAGAGCAGTTTTCTGAATCTGAAGGCCCACGGAGAGATGCACTTAGATGGCCCCCCACCGTGGAATGCCCGTGCTGACTTTGGTCCCCGTGGGGGTCCGGGCTTAGGCCACCAGCCACAGAGCCACCCTGTGAAGGCCAACAGAGTGGACAAGAGCCAGAGGGGGCGCGGAGCGAGGGCGGGAAGGCACAAGTCCCCTCTGACTAGGTGTTTAGTTACAGCTCATTTAGTGTTGTTCTCGCCTCGTGAAGTCAAGGACGAGCAACTGGACTTCTCTGACAATTATTCTGGAATGACAACGGAAAACGCTTATAAAACAGAACTACTGCTTTTGTGTTTAGTACGTTAAAAAAAAAACCAGCTCTTATAGAAGTGCCTCCCAGTAGCAGATTGGCAGCTGGAAACCAGTGGGAGCCCCCGGAGGGGCTGCGTCCAAGGCAGGGGCGGCCTCCTAGCCAGGAACAGCTCCTCCCCGTGCGTGGCTGGTAACACTGTGACCGGTCGTGACGTCAGTCTCGCATGATAAAGATTTCTATCACGGGTGAGGACTGTATATGTAAAGACACAGTGGTGCTTTGGAATCTTTGGGTAGTTATTTCAGGATGTAAACAGAGCTGTGAGCTGGAAGCCCCTCAGTGGTTCTCAGGACTCCTTCTCATCTTTAATTTCAGAAATTCTGTCTATAGATTTAAGGATTTCAGCAACGAGATTCAACGTTTCAGCTCCAGAAACCAGCTGCCTGAAACGAGAACACAGACAGGACGGACCGCTACCACAGCTGCTCAAAGGCGCCAACAGAAGCTCACGTCCCAGAGTGAAAAAGTGCAGGTTTGTTAAATCTTGGATTTACTCTGAAGAGACTCTTCATGCTCCACTTAAGCGAAATGGGCTTTGTCACTCACTGCTGCCCTGGCTGGGGTCAGCCCGGGGACAGAGCATGAGGGTGGCCACTAATGACAGCAGCCGACACCTCCCACAGTCTTACCGCACTGAGCGTGGTCCTAGGTCCTTCTTCCAATTTATTTGCTTTTTACAAGAGGGAAAGTATTATTATTTTTTTTCACTCAAAATATTGGTGTTTTGTAGGCGAAGGAGCCGGGATTCAGGCCTTTAGGGTGAGAATGGTCATCACCACACGGGCCGTAGGGGGCCGGCTGGCTGGTGCACACGCTGTGACCCCGGGGTGAACAGGGTCACCCAGCCCCCCTCACCCCGAGGGAGCCGTCGGTCTGCCGTGCGTGGGGTGGTTGTGGTTTGAAATCCCTCGCTGAGGGAGGCCCCACCCCGCCCCCGGCCAGCCGAGGGCGCAGCCCGTGCTCACTTGATTGAAGCGTGTGCGTTGTTCATGACGACGCGGAGGTTCTGCAGGGCCACGTCCGTGTTCTGCTTCACCACAGTCAGGCTGGCGCCCTGGCCCACCCGTAGGGCTTCATTCTCCCGCTTGAAGTTAGAGACCTGCGCCTGTGTGTGTGTGTGGGGGGGGGGGTACTTTGAACCTCCCTGGCCAAACCTGGCGTCAATGGTGGTCTTTCCTAGTGGGGGTGGAGGGCTCCTAATGGACGCGGGCCTGACGCCGTCCCCAGCCCTCCTCAGCAGTGACCCACAGAAATGAGACTAGCGCGCGAGCACGTGCCACCCTGCCCTACAGTCCCCCACTCTGCGCAGCATGCAGGCCCGGGGCCCAGGACCGAGCGGCTTCCTTCTTTCAAGGCCTGAGAGGAAAGCTCACACTGTCCTGAGTTTGGATGCTTTGTCAGTTAGGGATGGGAAGAACCCCAGCAGAGGCTCTGGCGTGTTTTTGGGGATTTGTGTGCACGTGAGGCATCTGCCACCTTCCCTCTAGTTACCTGCAGCAAGCTTATTTCCTGTTTCAGTTTCATGACGTGATTTTCTGCCTTGACCGCCCGTTTCTGTGATTCCCCCCACAAAAAAAAGAAAGAAGAAAGGCATCACTGATGTTGTAATGTGGACACAGGCGTCCCCTCCTTCCTGGCCCTGCCGCCCTCACCCAGAGCCAGGCGGGCCCACCCCACCTTCAGGGTGCCCACTGTGAGGGACACCTCCTCACGGAATCCGTGCCCCTGCTCACTCTGCCTGCCTGCAGGGCCCACCCAGACCTCCGGCCCCCCAGGGCAGGGCTCAGCAACAACAATGCCTGGGACTTGGGTCCCCTGCAGGGAGTGACACACCCAACACTTCACAATGTCCTTGCTGGCTCCGCCCAGCAGACAAAGGCTCTGCCCACCTCCCTCCTGCAAACAAGGAAACCGGCTCATACAGTCATGAGCTCCAGATTCTGCTCCACCTGCTGGACCACCGACTCCAGATCGTGATAGTCACTCTCCTCCTTTATCATCTTGGCTTCTAATTTCCGCTCCAGTGTCCTCACCCTTGTTAAAGGAAAGCCCCGAGATGTTAATAACTCCCATGAGTAACGCTAACAGTATTAGAACAGAAGGAATTTTAATTGGGTTGATTGGATAAAAAACGTTAAGAGCCTGCTGCTTCAGAATGAACCTCAAGGAGGCCCAGCGGGGGAGGCAACAACCCCGAGCCAGATGCAGAGTCAGCTCACGGTCAGGGCCACGAGGTCAGGGGCACCGGGAGCCGACTGACCGCTCTGCTGCCCTTTCACCAGATTTGGTTGATTTCAGCCGCATGTTCAATATAAACTTTGACATGGGACGTAAGAAACGTGTTTGATGCTGAGGATTTAATACAGCAAAACCTGGGCTTGGTTCAACTTGGATACTTCGTCATTATTTTCAAATTGCTCTCTTTGGGTCAGAAGACGTTTTGAACTGTGATCCTAACTAAAGGCTTACATACATTTCTGTTTGAGTTTCAGAGAAGCTCTGAACCTCAGTCAGCTTTCTTCTTAGCTTAGAATTTTCATCTTTGAGCTGCAGAAAAAGAAAATCCTCATTAGCAACTCAGCGTGTCTCACTCCCAGGAGTCTGGACTTCTGCCATTTGGCTCTGGAACACAGAATGTTCCAGAGTCACCCCACAGTCCACTTACAGAGAAAGACCAAGAATAAAGCTGTCTGCTTTCCCAAGGCCTATAGTCACAACTTCAATTGTATTCATACCTTGTAACGCTTTTCTAGGTAATTACTACTTTTTAAAATGCCTTCAGAATACTGGGCAGGCTGTCCCTAAGCCACCGGTTGGAGTGGACCCTGTTCTAAGGGGCAGCTCTGAGGGTCTCAACCTTGCTGCAGCTCATGCCTACGGGGGGCCAGACCTTGCAGCCCCCGCAGTGCTTTCCAGTGGGTTACGGGCAGACTGGGCAAGGGCCCCGCACAGAGACCCTGGCGTGGACTGCTGTCTTTGGAGCCAAAACCCCAGGCCATCAAGGCCTTCAGAGCTCTCCAGGTTTTTCTCCAAGAATGCTGCTCAGATCTGAGCTGTTACTGGGGACCTGACACACAGTCCCCCCTCACTTACTGCTTCATAACTTATCTGCAGCGTCCGAAGGTGCCTGTCCCCCAGTGACTCTCCGTGGGCTGCAAAGTCTGCGCTGGGACTCCCCGCTGGGGAGACGCGAGAGTCGGAATCACTCAGCGTCCATGCGGGCAGAGACTCAGGCCCCGCCAGCTCCGATGGGTTGGAAAAAAAGGAGACGTAGGTGCTGCAAGGTGATGTGCTGGCGGCGACCCTGGACGAGTGGGTCTGCTCCACAGCAGACGGCAGGTAGGCCCCATTCCACCTGTCGTCCTCATCCTCGTCCTCGTCCAGGAGGTCACCAGCCCCTGTTGGGTCTTCGAAAAATGGCTGCTGGTATTCCAGGCCATACCCCACAGTTTGGGAGGTTGGGGAGTTATGGTCGAGTCCCAGAGAGTGCCTCGTGGCTTCCTAAAAAAAAAATAGGGGGGCAAAGCTCAGACTCAGAAGACACTGCAGGCCTTTCTTCCTGGACATTCAATGCTGGAACTACTGGGAAGGTGGGAGGCAGGAGGGACCCACGCAGCTTCCCCACCAGGATTAGCAGTTGCTTCGATGTGCCCCACAACTCCTGCAAAACCTCCTCGGAAGGAACGCTGCCAATCAGAGGAGAGACGTCCTCTGGAGGGTTTTTCTGAAAGCACTGCAAACAGCGCCTTCGAGCTACCTTTGAATAGATCCTGCTGTTGGTCGTGTCCTCTTTTGACAGGCCAAGGTTCTTGGTTTTCAAAAACTCTTTAAAGGAGAATGGATTTGCCTCTTCAAGATCTTCAAGTTTATCATCTGAAATGATAACGCATGTCACACATGCAAAGAGTCTCCGGAAGGTCATTAAAAGGGGGCTTTCCCATGCACTGCTCTTTCCCGAACTCGGCCCCAGCACAAACTGGGAAGGCTGCCCTTGTCTTTCCACCAGACCCCGGTGACACTAGGAAATGAGCGCGGGCCAATGAAACAGACCTACTCCTCTCCATCCTGAGCCTCTTGGTTCCCACACCTTGGGGCCCATGGAGTCCACCTCAGAATCTTTATGACCATGATGCACCTCTGCTCCCACACAGACTGAGTTTTAGTTGGCCTGGGGGCAAAGTGCGCCCGCGGGCCACGCTGAGAATCACTGCTCCGCCTCTATTTCCCTTTCCCGCTGCCAGTACCCAGCCAGCCACACGGCTGCCCTTCCGGCCCACCAACTACCCAAGCCCAGGTGCCAACCCTGCATAAAGTTAGTTCCTGTAACCCCAGCCCCGGCTGTATCCTCAGACCCTCAGGTAGGGTTTCCCCCTCACCTCCACTCGCCACGTCCCAGTTCTCTGGCCCCGTGCCTTTTCCCTTGGCCCTAGGATCAAGACTGAATCTGTGGGATTCTACCCCCACCTGCTCTTTTGGGCTCCAGGTACACTAACTCTATGCTGTCAAACCAACAACCCCACTACCAGGCACATGCCTGGCACTGTGTGTTTGACGAAGAGAAAAAGAAAGGATTACTGAACTACTCTACCTCCAAAATGTGTGTTCTGGGCTCCTGATGGACCTTGCTTAGTACATTTCCCCTTTCCATAGCCAAAATCTGCAAAGAGACATCGTCACCCCACCATGATCACAGGAATCCTTTATGACCTCAAGTTTTTTTTTTTTTTTTTTTTTTAC